TATGAGACCGGCAGATGTAGAAAATCTTCGAATTAATTATTACAAGCGAAGTAATGATGAATGGTATAATTCTAAATATTCTTGGTACTGTACCGGATATGCTAAAAATAGAAATGAAAAAAGCGTACCTCGACCATTTGTATCAATGGAAAAGAATCCTATACGGGCTAGAGAATTACTTATCTGGATCCAAAAATCAATACCGGAGAGATTTCTATCAAAAGGAAAAGGTGGTAATGTAGACGTCAATCCGATTAATAACTTCTTAGCTTGTCATGGTATTAGCTCATCGCATTTAAGAAAAATAGGTTGTAGTCATGCCGTTATAGTACATGAAGGTAAGAATAATGCTCAATGTAAACGTCTCTGTCAATTAGCAGTGAGACATAAAATAATTAATATTGCATCAGACCATTATAGTATAATGAATAGCGGACCTAGTGTCAAGTCGCATAATAAACCAGATGCTGTAACAGAAATCATTGATATGTAAAATTACTAATTATGCGTTACTTCTTTATTAGACGTATATGTATATCATTTTCTATATCAGTAGAAAAATTAGACTCTGTTTCCGATTTCGAATTACTAAAACATTTATTTTGCAAGAAAAAAAAATATTTGAAATTATTCGCCCATATAGATATGCCAAATATGTCTTGCAAATCGAGGAAAATCGCTTAATATGAGTCGAAGACTCTATGCCTGCATATCTTGTCTATTATTATATACACACTAGAGATAAAAGTAAGTGAAAACGGTAAAGTTACCCATATTCAATAATGGCTAAAGATCGCTCCTTTAGTTCTTTTTTATATGGAGTAGTAGGAAGCTGCATAGTTTTTTCAAAGTCTCGCTTATATTCTAGAAAATCCGCTTCGACCATACTTTCACGATTTATTTTCCAGTAATTAGAATAATCCCGCAATTCAAAAGCAATATTGGATCTCCACTGTTCTAGCTTTTCTTTAGACATTTTAAATTTTTGCTGTAAAATCCCGATAAGAGTATCTATATCTGATTCACTTTTGATGATAAGTTCCGGTATTTTTGAGAAACGATTTATAATATTTTGAATCTGATCATCTTTTAAGCTCGAAATAGTGCTTGCACTATAAGATACTTGCCTAATTTTATCTATTCCTATTCCTTCAAACAATATATAAACTTTTTTAGCTTTGAAAGTTCTATTACGCAAGTTTACGTTAGTAATATCAGGGAGTAACAATTTTATTTCGTTATATACCAATGTTCTTGCTGATTGATCATTAATATTATTTATATGCTTAACATCTTCAATTCTATCCTCATATGCTTTATAGTAACAATACCAGCATAAAATCTCCTTTTGTAAAGTCTTCATAGCAATATTAAATAAATCAACTATAGTTTGTGACATAACTTTACCAGATCCTTTTATAATTGCTTCTAAAGAGAATTCGGGAATATGTATATCAAATACATTATTAATTTCACTATTATCGTTTTTGACGCAAACGGATAATTCATCCCTTAAACCTTGTTCTACTTTCTGGTTATAGGGAATTTTCGATATTTCGGAAGGAATAGTATCTTGGGAAATCTCAGTTGTAGAATTTATTTCGGAAGAAATAGTACGTTGAATCTTCTTTTCTCTGTTTCTCTCCTTCATCATATTACTAACCCTTTCCTTTTCCGTTAGATCCAGAAAATCATTAATCTTTTTATCTTCCAACGATTTAGGATCTGTACGAATGGGTCGTTTTATTTCAGAAGAAACGGGTATTTCTTCACTTACTGAAGTCGTGTTATTGTCTTGCAAGCTCTCTTCCTTGATTAGTGAGACGTCGTATTCCAGTTTAGCTAAAGTGTTGCTTTTTTCTTCATCTCTCCGTTCCAGTTTAGCTATAGTGTTGCTTTTTTCTTTATCTCTCTGTTCTAAATTCGTGAATCTGCTTTCATGTTCTTCTAAAGCTTGTTTTAATTTTGCGTTTTCGGCTTTGACCTTAGCATTCTCTTTTCTAAGTTCATCAATCTCTGCTACGAGTTTGTAATTTAATTCCCTTAACGAGTCTGAAGATTCAACGATTTCGGATTGAGTGTTTTCCATTGTTTTTTTATATGTATAAAAAATAGATTTATTCAAAATGTAAAAAAACACGTGCGCGTTATAATTTATAACGCCGATCATTCTTGGCAAGAAAAATAGTCAAGCCTAAAACGAAAAAAGTTAATTGCAATCTTGATCCGGATTTTGATGGACCTATCATTTACATTCTAAAATAATAGTATAAAACTATTTAGTCGCATATAAAAATAATTTTTACATATCAATATCAATAAAGTTTTAAAGTAACGACCACCACGGTCGGATTTATTTATGCGGTAAAAAATAAAATAAGATACAGGATAGATAAAAATAATATAGATAATAATGGAGTTTTAATTTTCATATGGAGGGGATGATACTGTTGAACTATCTTCTTTATCTCCATGTGAATCACGATCCGCATTTAATAATAGTGATAGGTTGACGATTAGGATTCTCTATAAAAAAAAGTTAGATATAGATTCGCCATAAAAAAATAGACAAGTAAATCCATACCCGAAATAGCAATAATGTCTCCACAAAATTATAAACAGTATCTCTATCTGTGAATTGTATCGGGATATCCATTGAACGTAATCTAAAAAGCCTATTTATATCATCTTTATCTCGAATAAGGATATTCAGATGAAGTTTTTGTCCAGCAATTTGTATCCCAATAATTCCGAATTCATCTTTTTTTGGTTTACAGCCTTTATGTACCCAATACATACCGTCATTCATCTCTCGCCATAATTTTACCCAATCGTTTTCTTCCTTATCTTTATCACAAAAAATACAGGAGCATTCAGCAAACATTAATTCATAGATTTTTTTCCCACGCTTCACCATAAACATAATGTCAGGACGTTTGCCAGTCTTTCCTCTTCGATCTTTACTTGCTATACTCTGTCGTTCCGCTCTAAATGAATAAAAAATATAAATGTATGATTATCCGGAAAAGATAATAATATTATACTTACGTGCTAACAAAAGCGAAACTTTTTATTGGTAATTTTTTTAATGAAGCTTTCACCATAGGAACTATAATATCTGTAACATATGTTCCTTCATTCTGAGATTTAATAAACTTATTTCCAAATGCTGGATTCCTCCAAACATCACCTCTGTTCAAATAGCAGAAAAAATGTAATCAATATTTTTTTAGAATAAAATCCATATTATACTCACATTATATCGAGAATTCCAGATGCAATTTCTTCGAGAACTTCTTCCGACTCATCCCAATTTCCATGTGAGAGTTCAATAGGTATTTCCTCATATAAGGTATTGCTATAAGTCATCACAAATTCATCACACACATCTCTGATACGATGAGGGGTTAATCTCTCCATACGTTCTACTGGCTCCATAAAATCTTTATATTCATTTTCTGCCTCCACAGATAAGTGCTGTATAATATCCGAATCGTAACTAATTACTTGACTTGCTTTTGGATCTTTCCATGAAAGGTCAGAAGGTTTGATTTTTTTAAGGTATTTGCTTAATTTTTTGGCATATGGAGCTGAACTTTTACCAAGATTCAACTTTAATTTCCGTAAATTCGTTTCAATCTCCTCAATAGACACCTCTTCATCTCGCTTCGCAAAATCAATATCTCTAAGGCTACACACACCTTCGAAAGCATCATCAAACTAGCGTAGAAATAAATAAGTTAGATTTGGTTGCTCTAGAGAAACTTATAATAAAAACGTGTGCACACTCTTCAGAATATATTATGTAAAATCACCAACTATGCGTGGCCAGCACATAGATGACAATTCACATAATTCGTATATAATATCCATCTCAAACCAAGACAAAGAAGACTTCCCCATGCGTCTAAGGATTAATACAATAATGATTAAACCTGTGCTTGCAGGCTCTGGATATCTACTCAATCTGGTTTTAAGATTCTACGCTATTCATCATTCGATGATAAAAAATAATTTTTGAGAGTAGGAAAAAAACTAACCTTAAAAGGGATCTCATTAAGTTTTCTATATTTCTCCGAATTCCCTTCAAGCTCATTTTTTATAGCCGTGATCACATTATGAATCAATTGTCTCGAATCTTCTTTTGGAAACCACGGCTCTTCTTCTATTATTTGATGGACTATTGAAACTGCAGTAATATGTTCTAGGGGGGAATTATGAAGAAAATTATAAACTTTTTTGTATAATCCTGTATTAGACATTTTACGTAGTTAAATTGTTATAAAAAAAAAGATTAAAATATTTTAGTGCTAATGTAAAAGCGTCGAGTAACAATAACTTCGATATACTGTCCTTTTAAACGTTTTCGTTTATCTCTCTACATCTTCATTTGGATCTATAGAATGGGTATAATAAAGTGGAAGAAAGTAGTATTTACGCCAAGAATTTTCATTACAAAAGATAATGAATATACATGAGGTAATTAATCGAATTTGGTTAATCGCACAAATAAACATGCATGCAATATTACATTATATATAGTTAGGTAGTACACATCGAAATTCTAAAAATAATTTTCATTACATAGCCATGTACAACATATCGATTATCTGATTGATTATGCAGAGGGATTATCAAGGCACATAAGTGTCATTGCTTTGCAATAAATTTAATTCCTTCTTTAAATCAATTCACGCTGAAATATATACGACATAAATGCTTCTTCTTTTATGGCGATGCGAATACAATCAAAATGGTGGATATATATACTAGCAATTACGTTTAATCAAGAAGGAGTATAATATTTTTTTATTACTTTTTCAGATGTATTAACATCCTGCTTCACAGATTCCCCTCTTCATTTATAGATTCCATATAAGAAGGTGGTTGACTACCTTCAACATCGAACATACTAACATCACTGTCATTTTGTGATGCAGATATATTAAGGGATGTGGTAATATTTGCCAACTCAGATGAAGATAAGTATGTAGCATTATCTAAATTTTCATCTACATCATTCGTGTTACGACCTGAATTCCCACTCACATCATTAACATTATTTACATTGTTTCCATTATCTTGATTATTACTGGTGGTGACTGTTTCACTGGTATTCTCATTCCTTCTATTATCTTGATTATTATTGGTGGTGGCCGTTTCACTGGTATTCTCATTCCTTCTATTATCTTGATTATTATTGGTGGTGGCCGTTTCAGTGGTATTCTCATTCCT